AGATGATAAACTACACCCGCGTCCTGGGTAAGACAATAAACTACATTCCCGTCCTGGGTAAGACGATAAACTACACCCGCGTCCTGGGTAAGACAATAAACTCCATTCCCGTCCTGGGTAAGACAATAAATTACATCCGCGTCCTGGGTAAGACGATAAACTACACCCGCGTCCTGGGTAAGACAATAAACTACATTCCCGTCCTGGGTAAGACGATAAACTACACCCGCGTCCTGGGTAAGACAATAAACTCCATTCCCGTCCTGGGTAAGACAATAAACTACATTCCCGTCCTGGCTAAGACGATAAGCTACACCCGCGTCCTACATAAGAAAATGAGGAAGAGAATTCATTAAAAGCCACAGAAATATGGTTCTATAGAAGGATGCTAAAAATCCAATGGACTGACCATATAAGTAAAGAGGAAGTTTTAAGGAATATACAAACAAAAAAGGACGCTTATTCTTAAAATCAGAAAGAGAAAGTTCAAATTTCTTGAACCCATAATACGAAAATTAGTGAATTTGACACTCACATGAGATATTGAAGACAAGGTTGACAATGTGGAGAGCCATGATTGCCCACGTCCTGAAGGGACACGGCACATGGAAGAAGAAGAAAAGGTGTAGTGCTGGTTAAATGATAGCCTGAGAATTGAACCTTCCATGCATAACATTCTCTTACGGCCATATCACATTGCAACACGATCACCGATGTTAAACAACATCGAGTCTGGCCAGTACCTTGATGTGTGATCACTTGGGAATATACCAGGTACAGTAAGTTTCGATTTGAGGGTACTGTGGTGGTTAACGACGCGGAATAAGAAAACTGAGAGCCGAGTTCAAATTCCAGTCGGGTTCGTCATATTCACTTTAGGCGCCAAATACCATTGAGATATGTAATGAATCCACCTCTTCTCCTCCAGCTATGGGTTAATTAGTAGAACTTGTATCAATAAATCATTATCATCTCCAAAAAAATCCTCACAATCTAATAATAATCTGGCTTTAAATATCCAGCAAAGGGTTGATAAGCCGTAAAAAAATGCGATCATCATTTGCCTATACTTCTTATATGAGGTGACTATTCACACTATTTACATTGTTCGGACTGTTGTCCTCATCTTTATTGTCATATTCACAAGTTTTTGCCCGTTGTGCGTTCCGGCCTTCTTCCGGTGATATACGTTGAAATTTCGAACCGAACCCTTTATTTTGTTCACTGGAAGGGTTCGGTTCGAAATTCCAACGTATATCGCCTGAAGAAGGCCGCAGAGTACAACGGCCGAAACGTCGGGAAGATGACAATAACTATAAGGACAACAGTCTGAACAATCAAATCATTTACCTTCAATAAAGGCGTAGAAAATGGTAAATTTTTGTATACAGCAAATGGAATTAGCATACTTGCTGTATTTGTGTTGCTCCTTGTACTTATTTTCAGAGAAAAACTGCTAAAAGACACTCGAGATAGGAAGTTGTGGAGGGCCATGTTTTGAAGTAACGTGGGATATAAAAGAAGAGAATGAGAAGAAAATAGTATTGTAATTAATTGCGGAATATTTTGGCTTCATAGAAATATCCCTTAAATAAACTAGATTCTTCTTTTATGTGCCCTGTTCCCTTCATGACGTTGGTAGTCATGGTTCTCCACGATTTCTAGTCTCTTGTCGGTCTTAATAAATTTTGTCTTTTGTTTTTATCTCTCCCAAATCCTTTTTCTGATATCCCTTTACTAAAGCTCGCTAGGGTATGCGTTATTTTCCTCTGTACCACTTGCCATTAATGTGTTCAGCGTCTATCAAATTTCCCAAGCCCTATAAATTTCAATTGTCCCTTCCTGATGTTAGGTATAAGGTCCTTTTTGTTTCCATTTTCTTTTAAACTTCTTCGTTTCTCACATGTTTGGTCCATGTTATTCTCAGCATCCTTCTATAGAACTACATTTCTATTGCTTCACGTCTCTTCTTCATCTGTGATAAGATTGTCCAGAATTCACTGCCATATAGGAGGACTGATATTACATAACAGTTCAGTACTGTTTTGTTTGTTTCTCATTGGATTTTCCTATTTCTTAATACTTTGCTTTTGGAAGGCATCTTTTGCTATCTCAATGCACCTTCGGATTTCAGTGTTACACTTTCTGTCCGCTGTTAAAACTCTTCCCACATATTTAAATTGCTTTATACGTTAGATTTTGGTATCTCCATGATTTAAATTAATGGTATATTTTTTCAAGTTATGCAAAGTAAAATATTATTGAATAGCCTAAATTAATAAAAGAAAAAATTGCATAAATATTTACTGGACCCTTTTCAAGCTGTTATGAAAATTTTAATTCATTCAGGCATAGATTTCCATAAATTAAAACAATATTCTTTATCAATGTTTCCTGAGTGGTGGTCAATAGCTCGTTGGTCGATAAAACCTTCTCATTAATCTACGTTGACGAGTATTCAGTTAGACAAGCAAGAGAATTAAGTTACTATGTTTTCTCTTTTATTTTATTTATGTTCATTTCCATACGTCGATCTTTTTCTGTGTTCTTAGATCTCGTGTTCTGTTTGATGGCATCGTGCGAATATTGCATGGTTCAAACAAGAATTTAAAAACAAATTCTTTCGCATTAGCCATCTTTCCGTAATCATCAAGACGCCCCAGAGACACACACAAGGGGTTCTCATGAAACTAGAAGAGTTTTATGAGATGGCGAATTTTCTGATTGACTAAACGCCCCGAAGGCGATTAGCTTGTTTTCCTTAACTGGAAGAACGTATAGAAATTTTCCCGTTAGCTTTTCACGACCGTAAACAATGGAAATGGCAGCATTCTATAACGTTACATGCTTCAATTAGCAGCATAATAACAGCTAAGACAGAAAGGAGCCGATTTCGTAACAAGAGAAGGTACTTTTTATCAGCTTGATTATTTTTCCTGATTGGTATCCCAAATTCCAAAGACGTTTTCTTATGTTGATTTTTAGAAAGTTTATGAGTTCAAAGGTGACAAAATAATCGTCGGCTTTATCTCATATCCAAGAATTTAGTTTCTTCTTCGCTGATGATTGCTTTCTTTTATGATGATGGCGTTGATAAATAAATCCATCACCAACATGCAGGTTCAGGACTAGAAGCTTCCAGTTTCACCACAACCTGTTCCCGCCATCCATACTCTGTCGCCTTTTGTGTTTTCAACAGTTGGTTGCAGGTGAAAGAAAATCAGAGTAGAAGAAAGTTCTGATGGCATGAATTTGGGTACAGGGCACCTCAACTTGCCAGGAATTGACCCACACACTTGATATGATCTTTACTTTCGGAACATATGCAATGAAACAGACAGAATCCAGTTATAAAACGACGACGGACTGCCGCTGCCAAAACAAAAACCCATTCTTTAATTACACGACAGAAACACGAACGTCAATGCTTTGACCCTTTTGTTTATTATAAAAATATATTCAACATTATTATTAATTCTAGCAGGATACGGTAAATAATCCTCAAGTCCTTTCTAACAGGTCGTTATTAACAGTCAATCTTGGGAAGTCTTCAAGATCTTTAGGGCTCTCTTCTCGGTCCTACCCTCTTTCTACTCCATATTAAGTAATGACTGGACGCTCGTATCCCTGTCGACTAGGATGACTAGCCAATCCCTGTTGCGTACACCTGATCAGGCAGATTTGTTCAACACACACGGAGCCCACCCGTAGTTGATACTTCAACTATGCTGAGCCGACCTAGTTATAGCTTCTTAGTGTGAGAGAGAGCGCATTATCTGTGGTGATCAACAGTCTGAACAAGGGCAGTACACTCAAACCCTCGGTCACGATGACTTGCTACTTTGTGCTAGCATCGACGGCTTCCAAATAATTCCGTCTACCGAATTTCACTCACCAGTGGTATGCTTATCAGGCATTTTCCAATTCTGACAGTGACCGGTTGCCTTTCGACCTTAGTCCAAAACGGCGCGAATTCAACAGAGGACCGCAAAAATTCTGAAACGTCGATACACATCCCACACACGGCTAAGCTAAACAACATTTAACGGCCTGAATGTCCGAGAAATTTTCTGTCGGAGGACAAATATTTTCTATGAAACTTTCTCTGTCATTCAGGCCGGTAAATGTTGTTTAATACTGTCTTAATATATATATATATATATATATATATATATATATAAAACAACATTTTTGAAACATGAGACCTCTTATGTCATAGTTGAATCATATTTTTAAATAAATAATTATATATATATATATATATATATATATATATATATATATATATATATAGGTGGAAACTAGGTTTTTTAATTCTTGTAAGCATTTTGCGCTTTTCGACGGTTCATATAATTTTCTGCCAATGTAAATTGTTTCTCTCGATGCACATATACCTTTTTAAGTCACCGTGTAATGTCCGCTCCTAACGTTTGTGCCATGAACTAATTAGCAGTTTGTTTTATTTCTATACCAGCCTAGACATAGAGTAGAATACGATCTGTTTTGTGATATTTTTCTGCTATATTGTCTGCTCTTGGCTTAGCCTATATCTGTTCAAAAACAAAATGGCGGCGCCCATGAGAAATCGTCGTCTTTATTTCCAGTAATTATCTAATTATTTTTCTCAAGATGTGCAGGCATAGCTAGAGCACAGTAAATATTTTCACTTTTATTTAATATTGAATTATATATGCTTAGGATTGCCTGTATGAATATTTTTAGAGAAGAGACAATGCGTTTCTGTAAAAAGAAAAAAAAAGTGTAAGATCGATGGGTATTAAACTCTCGAGACATTTGATTCCAATTAGAATTGGCTTGTATTTTAACAAAATCAACAATGTCTTTGTTTTGATATTGTCTACTAGTTTTAAGAAAACCTGGCCAATTTGCAACTGATATCCTCCACGACATCAGCAATGTCACTGATGTCTTAAACATAAATATTTATTTTGTGCAAGATCCTCCGCTGACATCTATCAATAAGAAACTTCATTCTTGTAATGTCTGACATTGGAATTGTTGCCTTTCCATCTAAGATTAACATTAAGTATATTAGATGTCTGACTGAGAGAGAATTTATCTACCTATCTGAGGCAGCTGCTGTCTGTTTATCTAAGGCTCTCTATATATGTTTGTTTATATCTATCTATCTATCTATCTATCTATCTATCTATCTATCTATCTTAGTTTATTCATTATGTATGTATGTATATATGTATGTGTCTGTCTCTCAGTCTATCTTAGTTTGCCCATTATCTATCTATCTATCTATCTATTGGTCTATCTATCTATCTATCTATCATGCCTGGTAGCAATAGTAACGGATTTTCAGGTAGGCTTGGAATCCATTAATTTCTTCAAACATTGGATGGACGCGTCATCTCTCCTTGAATACATAACTCCTCAAATGATAATAACGTTGGTTTGAAAGAGTCGAATGCACGTGATACATGATTGACAATAGAAAATCAAAAGACAACAGAAATAAAAAATACCAAAATTTCTTCCTTCTTTTTCTTTATGTCTCATTCTCTGATGAAGCTTTACTAAAAGTGAAACATGTTAGATTGATAAACATTTCCTATTTGTTCTTTATCTTATCATTCTGTTTGATTTCGATTCATTAGTTGATCTATATTTGATCTATCAAGCCTTATCATCTATCTATCTATTCATCTATCTATCTATCTATCTAAATATCTATCTATCTATCTATCTATCTATCTATCTAGGTCGTCTATCTATTTCTGTCTATGTATCTGTCTCTCGATTTCAGTCTATTTCAATCACTTTCAGACTACATCTTTCTTTCTTTCTTTCTATTTCGATCTATTTCTGTCTATCTATCTCCCGATCATTTCAGTTATTTCTATTCATCTATCTATTCATCGTCTATCCTATCTATCTATCTATCTATCTATCTATCTATCTATCTATCGATCGATCGATCGCAAGCTTTGCATATCAGATTGTTCATATCCAAGTCCTTGCCTTCATCAGAAGAGG